AATCCAGAATCCTTGTGCATGTTTTTTTTTTTCTCGTGTTCTTGTGAGAATGTGATTTCTTTTTACCCTCAGAGCGTGATTCAGTAACAGTCACTTGAATTTGACTGTATTTTGCGAACTCCTCTTAACCTTACATTTAATTCCTTGAACCAATAGGATCCTCTCCCTGTTCCTTCCATCCTGCTCCTTTCTTGTCCCTTATTCCTCCAGATCTACTCCCTCTTCTTCCTCTTCCTCTTCCTCTTTTTTTCTCCTCCACTTCCTGGTCATTATATATTTTAGTTTCTCTCTCCCTTCTCTAAATCCGCCCCTGTTCACTCCTTATCTCTTTTTCTTCTTCTTCCACCCGTAATCTGTTCTCTCCTCCTTTCCTTCTAAATCGGCTTCCTCCCCCTCCCCCTTTTATTTCCGATCTGTCCTGTATATGCGGCCAGATTCTGAAGCTTCTCGAAAAAGAAGAGGAGGTGGCCGCGCCCTGTCCTTCCCGGCCTGCATTTTCAGGCGTCCAGACTGAGTGTGTTGGCCTGTCACGTGGTCCTAGTACAGCCCTCTCCGTGACCACAATGGAGACATTATATCGTGGTTTATTGCTTGGAACTCTTCCTCTCTGACAACCCCTCAGTGTTCTTCACTCTCTACCGAGATGCTAAAGTAGCCGCTGTCCATCCAAGGTGTCCGTTTGAGATGACTGGAATGTCCACGAGAGAGTTCGTTGCTGTTGACGGAATGTTCTAGATTTGTGTGTTTCTACGTGTGATGCGTTTCTTTCCTTTTCTGTGTCTTTTCGTTTGCCGCTGTGTTCGTGGTCTTGCCAATTCTTTTTTTTTCGTTCTTTGTGCATGCTGCTGCTTTGTCATGTGGCATTCTTAGAAACCTTTGACGGTTGCCTTTTTATTACCATCAAGTAACCATACGGTTAGTGCCTTGTCTGCACAGTGGACGACTAGTGCATGATCTTTGTCACACACGACACCGCTGGGACTGACCTTTAAGTAAAGAACGTTGCTTGTTCAAAAGAAGGTTTGCTTCAGACTACTTTCCCCTTCTTCTATATAAATACTTATATATGTATCCATATAATGGTTAATACGAGACATCCCATTGTAATAGGAAAAGCAAGCATCACTGCTTTCAACCTCACTGCCACTGCAGTCTTGCTCTCGAGACTTTGCTAGTTCCAACCAGCGATCCTGACAGAAGGACCAAACTGTGCCTCCTCAAAGCGAGCGAGCACAACTCCCCAGGCGCAAGCAGCACCCACTCCCGCCCCCGCTAACGCCCTCTCCCTCTGCAGGCTCTACAGAGGAAGGCACCGTCGGCGAGATCAGCGTGCAAGTGGACCTGTACACGCACCCGGGTACGGGAGAACAGCGCATCAACGTCAAGGGTGAGTTGTCCTGGTTGCTCTGGATCCCCTGGTTCGCTAGGTCCATTTCTTAAAGGAAGATGTTTGTTACAAGTAATCGGATATTGCATGGGGAAATGTGCTTTGATCAAGATAAAGGGAGGCTTAAGAACACAAGAAAGTCGAAATTCATTTCACTGATATGTGTTTTTTTTGTTTTGTTTTTTCAATGAAAGGCAGAAGTTTTGAATAAAAATGAAATATTTCTGTTATGAATTATTGTTGTCACGCATTCCGACTCCAAGGGTGATATATTAATTTTAGGACAGGAGATATTCCCCCGTGTAAATATTATCATATCTGTTTAATAATAAACGCCTCCATTACTCCCCCTCCCTTCCCCGCGCAGTGGTGGCGGCGAACGACCTCCGGTGGCCGACGACGGCGGGCGGGATGTTCCGGCCGTTCGTGGAGGTGAACCTGATCGGGCCGCACCTCGCCGACAAGAAGAGAAAGTTCGCCACGAAGTCCAAGTCAAACAGCTGGTCGCCCAAGTTCAACGAGAGCGTCCAGTTGTGAGTACCGTCGGAAGATCAGGGCTTTGGGACTCTTTGGTTTCTGATTTTCGCTTTGGGATTTCGCTTGAGAGCCCCAATTCCCCGTTTGCTGGATTATGATCTTTACCGAACTTGATAAGAATAGAGATATTCATCATGATACTGCGAAGGTTGCACAGTGTGTAAAAATCATCCTTCATTCAGCTCGTTTCATCAACATAAACCATTTGCAACATCAGTAAGACCCCAAAAGAAGATTCACAACAAAGCCCCAAAAGAAGTCTTTTAACGCGGCCTATAACTCCTTCCTTCCTCCCCAGCTTGATCGGCAGCGAGGAGGGGCCCGACAGCTTCGAACTCCACATCTGCATCAAGGACTATTGCTTCGCTCGCGACGACCGGCTGGTGGGCGTGGCCGTGCTCCAGCTCAGGGACATCGTCGACCAGGTGCCGTGAACAGACGATTTGTTTTTTTTTCTGATATTTGATGTCGAAGTTGTTGTTTTTTTAATGGAGGAAGGAATTTCTTTTATGATTGTGTTTAGGTTTGAATGAGAAATATTGGTATTCGCTTTTCTTTTTCTTTTTTTATATATTTGCTTTAAGAATCTTAATGATATACAGTCATTTTTTCATGTTGTTTTGTTGCTTCTCTATCTATCTGTCTATCTCCACCCCTCTCCCTCTCCCTCTTCCCCTCTCTCCCTCTCTCCCTTTCCCTCTCCCTTTGCCCCTTACCTCTTTTCCCTCTCTCCCTCTCCCTTTCCCTCTCTCCCTCCCTCTCCTCCTCTCCTCCTCTCCCCCTCTCCCTTTCCCTCTCTCTCCCTCTCCTCCACTCCCTCTCACTCTTTTCCTTTTCCCTCTTTCCACCCCCCCCCCTAAGCAAGCCCCTAACGGCCCTCCTCCCCCGCAGGGATCGTGCGCCACGTGGCTGTCCCTGGGCAAGCGGTGCCACATGGACGAGACGGGGTGGACGGTGCTGCGCATCCTGAGCCAGCGCACCAACGACGAGGTGGCCAAGGAGTTCGTCAAGCTCAAGTCCGAAGTTCGAGGAGAACCACCCATCACCCAGTAAAGCAGGAGGAGAAACAGGAAAAACGGCGAAGGAGAATGAGAAGAATGTGGGAGAAGAGGAGGAGAAGGAGGGGAGGAAAGTGCGTAAAGACGCTGGAGGTGAAACCTCGGAAAAAGGAGAGAGAGAGGGAGAGAGAAAGAGAGGGAGGGAGAGAGAAAAAAAAGTACACTGTTCCCCCTGAAGCTGTGGATGCGGTGTTGGTGGACATCCTCGTTATTTAGTGTTTAGTGTGTGTGTGAGTGAAGGTCGCGCCAGCCAGGGCCGAAGGAGCCCCCTGATGGAGCTTCCCCCGGCAGGAGCCTCACGCCCCTCGAAGCCCTGGCGAGGCGGACCTCAATCGTCCATGGAGACTCGATCCATGCGAAGTCTGCGTGCATGGCTGCTGATGGGTCATGAAGCACAAATATTGAATTAGCGTAACTAAACATTTGGGGTTAATTGATTCATCTGGATTATTGTTGGGATTTTACATATTGTAACTTTTTTGTATCATCAGAGCGATTGTTAATAGATGTATTGAGCCGGACCTCCCGCTGATGTAGGCAGAACTGTTTAACGATTACTTAGAGATAAAACCAAAACCAAAATGGGATTTTAAATATGAAGCTTGAAAATACAGTACGTTGCGGCCGTGCAGGACTATGAGAGGAAATGTCTGTGATACAGTATTGTGACTGATTACCCTGGACTCAATGTATGGACCGTCAAGAAGGTATAGTAGATAAGTGCAGAGTTACAAAATAATAATCCGTACAGAAGCTGTGTTCTCACTTCAATGGAATACAAGTTCTCTGCTCTTCCAAACCTTGTTTAAAAGTTTGTAAAATAGTATTTTCAATCATTTAAAGATGATGGTGTTCATTCTGTATAATATATTACTGGTAAGATGTACAACATATGCACCAGTGACAGTAATATATAATTATTATGGAAGTGCCCCAGTAGCTTCGAAGTGTCAGCGTGGCAAGCGCCGCCGTGCTGCTGTCCCATTTTCTGTGCTGGTGTGAAAGAAAACGACTGAACCGAAGGGCTTACTTTCCCATTTGCTGTTAAGTGGTCATAGGGTAAGTCTGCTGTTTTGTGCTGCATTACTCTTTACTTCTCTTTAAGCGAGAAAAAAGCGTTGATATTCTAATTAATCACGTGGTTTAAGTTGTGAGCACAAATTCTTATTTTTCTATGTGATCATGGCACATATTATCAAAAGGTGCACATTCATATTTCGCCTTTGATCAGATTGAGTAAGCAATCTATATTGTACATATCATTTTACCCTTAGGTTAGTCTTTGTCTGTAATTATATTCATGATTGGATGACTGTTAAGTATTTTCCCAAATTTATTTTAGCTGGTTCTAGTCCAACAGCGTCGGCCAAGGCGGGAGCAGGACGAGATGTTCGTTCATCAAACCCTCTAGTCTTTTAGCGGTGCATTTATTTGTCCCGAAACCCGCTTTAGTAAGCCACGGCCGCACACGTTGATAGGGACGATTTTCCTACTCACAACACGGAGAAAATAGCCGTTATCAGAAGAGGTGGAAAAGGCTCACTTTGACCGGTAGCGGGATATTTGTTGGTAGTTGATGTTTACCGGCGTGTGTATGCGTGTGTCGAGTCTGTTTCATCTGGACTATCAGTATGTTTTATTAACAAAAATATAAGTAAAACGGGCACATATTGTACCTGTTTAATATTGGCATGTTTGAACTTTTGCCGTGACAGGCGGATTAGTGCAATGGCTGTTGGCTGTAAGTATCCAGGAGTATTTTGTACAAGATTCACAGCCTTGGGAACCGCTGATGTTACCTGATCGCCGGTCCCGGTGAAGCTGCGTGCAAGTGTATTGTAAATAAGATAAAACGTGAAAATTACGAAAACAAAAACAAAATTGAGGGAGTGGAAATTTAAAACGATGCTTGATCAACAAACTCATTTTCTATGGACATTGCCATTTGTATGCATAACAGTGCTGGATACGAAATGTTTTCTTTCTCACACACACCAAAAAATTGCGAGGGATTCTCTGGAAATTGGAATTGCTCGAGTACCAAACTGTAAAAAACAGGAGCCAAAAAGAAGCCAACGTTGTATATAAACCAGTCAAAATAACTTAAAGATACTCCCAGCGACCAGCCTATGATGATGGCAAACTTAAAAGACAAACGAGGAGCTCTTCTGGGCGGTGCCTCCTCCTCCTCGACCGCCGGAGCTCGGCCTCCAGACATCTCGAGTCGGAGGGAAGGAGACTGGCGGCGGCGGCAGAGGAGGAGGAAGGGCGTCGCGAGGGGGGCCGTTGCATGCCTGTGCGAGCAAGGATCAGATTCTTCCAGTTGTGTGTGTATATAGTCGCCCTTATACCCAAGAAAACTACTTTCATGCTATACACTTCTGTTGTCCGGTCTTTTCCTCCATAGCACACAGATCATGCCTGGGGAGCGACCTGCGGACCCAAGGGGAAACGCCCGTGGAAAAAAGGGGAAAGCTCTCTCCAGCCTCGTTCCTTTCCTTCCTCTGTCCCTAGCTGCGGCTGTGGTTCAGTTCCTCGTCGCCATTCCGACACCACGCTGCATCTGGCGGTGCGAGCGGGCCGTACGAGCATCCCCAGGCGTGTGACATAACTTATACCTAAAAAGAAAAAAAAAACTTGTATTGTTACGTGTTGGCATGCTGTTACCGACTCGAAGAGGCCAGGGGATTCTTTCTACGACCTGAGGTGACCAAAAGAAAGGGAAAAAAGAAAAGGAGAAGAGAAGAAGAGGAAAGACAAAGCAGGTTCCAAGAATCCTCTGTCCGCCTCTTTACCCTAGATTTTTATGATCCCACCTAGTTATCCCACGCAGCATGAATGGCAAGGTCATCACTACAGGATATGTAAAGAGACCTCACAGGGAAGATGTGCAGTCTCAGTTCAAAGCTTTTTGAGTCATTACACCCATCTAGATGTAAATATGTCATTTATCATCGTGAGTGCGATAAAAAATAAAAATCAAGACCTATTTGATCCGTATCACACCTCTCTTAGTCGGTGGCTATGCCTTTAGTTCGCTCCCATGGTGGTACCTTGCCCATTTGTTGACTTCAACTATGGGAGACCACGATCCCATTTTTGACAACTTGTGTGCCTTTCTGTACCAATAATAAGTCCCAGGGTGGATCCACGAACTTTAGTTGTTTCCCCCTCACCATAGACGCAGCTCCAACATGGCGGTGGGTACGCGGACAGTGCGGGCGGTCACACACTATCACACGACACCATAAGGACACAATACACCCCCGCGGCGCAAACACATACAAATGCGCCACCGGGAAGGACACTTACCTCTAGGGATACACTTACATGTGCTACTCAAACCACCATACTTTTCTTCTGGGGGTACACTGTAAGACCGTCTGGGACATACATAATTGTACAATATATGGGGTGTATATACACATTCATGACAAGGCAGCACTTACATACCATTAGGGACACACGTCATCAATGTTCTTAAAGTAATTCAAGCGTCAGCCACACATACAACTTGAAGGGCACTTTTATTGGCACTCGAATGGTGCACATCCAAAACAGTTCAGGGACAAACGCATTGAAACTATTAGTATACAAACGTCGGTACACATTCACGTAAGTAACCTAAATACCCTACGGTTTACACGAATACCATTACATACACACGCGTACACACACATATTCCCTCTTTGGGCCTTATACACATACGTACACACATACACGTCCCCTCTTCGGGCCCTATACATAAGCACACACACACACAGTCGGCCGCCACACACTCTGTGAGCCCGAGAGTCCTGTGAGTAACTTGAAGACTACCAAGCGATGCTCGCAATGGCGCTCTCGTGAAAGGAAAACCAGGCAGAACGGCAGGCGGTGTGAGATGCTGCTCACATATAACGTGTTAATCCTACTTGTATCTGTGTATTTCTAAACAAATTATAAAACGCAACTCTCTGTGTATGCCATTACAGTTATAACTAATGCATTAAACTATATAATGTAATGAAACACTGTACGTCTGTTGATAACTATACAAAGGGTATCATAATGCATGTTACAATGCTTATTTGTGAATATCGTAATGCTTTCTCTTGCTCTCAGTCTCTTCGTATACTAGGGGTTCCAGCTGTCCCGCCCTGCACTGCCTGCCGTACGACCACGCCACCGCCAGGGGCTATGGCCAGTCAGATGATTTTTTATTTTCCACTTGGTATCGCTGTCCTCTGAAGATTCTCGTCAGATTTTCTTGTTAATGTGAGTGGGATTGAAGACGAAAAGTTTGGGTTTCCGTTGGTAGATGTGAATGAAGAGCTGCCTTATTTTTTTGTTTCACATTTCCTTCCTTTGGATCAGATCCGATGGTTAGTACAACTCACAGGTTCGTCTTCTGTCCCAGTGTCGAATGGTTATTGGCATTCATATTATATCATATTAATTCCCAAGTGAATCGTAGTCCTATAGTTGGTTTTGTTAATATTATTCCTCTATCTGAAAATAAAGGCCCTTTGAGTAAAA